TTCCTGCTATTTCCTTTTGCTTTTCAGCAGGCAGTATGAACTGAATGAGACAAGGATTACTTTGCACTCAGCGCACGATAACCTTTTCCAACACATATTTCCACAATACTGTATTTCAGTACAGCAAAGACTCCATTGCAAACAAATGAACGTCCTGTTATAAAGGAAAATTGTATGGAAGAAGTGCTCATTTTCATGAATGCTTCACAATAAACTGTCTTCACCATCTGTTCCACCCATTAAATATAAATGCAAAAAGAGCAAAGTCCCCAAGCGTAACACAAGTAGTATGATGTATCTGATTTTAATGCCTGTATATATACTCTTTTCTGTAATCAATACAGAATAAACATCCCCATCTTCTTAGCGACTCCAAATTGGAGTAATAATTTTCCCCAGCTGATGCATCATATCCTATGGAAGGACATACACATAGAGATGATCCAAACTAAACGAAGATATATGACTTCAAAGTCAGCAACATTCTTCAGTGGCAGGTATTTTATAGTGTGAAAAGCCCCAGACAGTATCGGAAAATCAAACCTAATCCTTTCTGCCTTGGTCACACGTTTTCTGATTTATTTGACCTGCTGCTGCTTGCAGGCCACTATGGAGGTAGTATCAACTCGTGGAAGAAATGTGTATATTATTCCTAGGACAATAGGCCAGTAGCTCACTGTGGATAGCCAACATAGCCCTACCTTAGAAAAACAAAATCTGTTCAGAAGAACAACAAATTATCTCTCTTGCACCATTCCTACATCTAGTTTAGGACCTTTACTGAAGCTCTCAAGTTTGTAATCAGTTTTAGCAAAGCATTTCAGAGTAAAATGGAAAGCAGTAGTTATGTGAAATATGACTAGAGTATGGCTCTGAGAGGAGTTATGACAAAATGTATGCCAATGTTTTTTACATTGTTTTCCACAGAAAAAGATATTTTGAATTCTTACATAGATGCTACCAGAGTTTTTGGGGGTCACTGCCCAGATCAGAAATAGAACCTGAAAGATGAGAGACAAACTCAGGCTTACAGCCTTAGAAAATAAGAGATTAGTCTCTTCTAAGAGACGAAAGGGAGCGCTATAGTTCTGTATCACAGTATAAAACTCAGAATAAGAAAAGGACAGGAATCACATAGTTGGCAGAATCAGTTAACTAAAATGGGAAAAAGTCATCATATTCAATGGGTGCTCAGAAATTCTACCAAACACAACAAGCAGTGAATGTTGGACAGATCAGCACTTTTGGACAATCAATGATGTCTAGAACTGCATAAAGCACTATATAGGACACTGGATCTATTCTCAAAGGTGCTCAACAACTCTCCTATTACTATCCCAAGTAATATTATAGGAAAAACATTTCCACAGGCACAAGAAGAGAAACCCTTAAACCTTACACAAAGTTCCCTGCATTCCAAGTGTGGTATCCCAAAAGGCCAGCGGAATTTTTCTGAAATCCACAAAAAAAATTAATTAATTCATTTTAAATTTGGTATCAATTGACAACAGTTGATGAAATACCTGAGGACAGGGATGTATGTATGTATCAAATTATATATCTCGGTTATATACAGAGAAAAAAGTTATGGGAAATAATCTAAAGTTGGACATATCTTAGCATAGCAGAAGTTGTAATACTGAAGTATTTTCAGTTTGGAATAATGCTATTTGATCGACACAGAGAATTATCTATCCATGCGAGACTGATGAACAATCGGAAGAAAGATTATATAAGAAACCAAAAAACACTATCATGGGGGCTTGTGACACAATAATGCTTGTAGGAAACAACTTGCCGGGAACTGGCAGTAGCATATTTAACAACCAATCTATGATATTTAAGAAGCACGTTCAAGCTGCTTTACAGCTATTTTATGCAGTGCTGCATCCAGCTCTGGAGCGCCCTACACTAGAAGGACGTGGACCTGTTGGAGCATGTCCAGAGGAGGGCAATGAAAATGATCAGAGGACTGAAGCACTTGTCTTATGAAGACAGGCGGAGGGAGTTGGGGCTGTTCAGCCTGGAGAAGAGAAGACTCCGGGGGGACCTCACAGTGATCTTCCAATACCTGAACGGGGCCTAAAAGAAGGCTGGGGAAGACCTGTTCACTGGGGCATGTAATGATAGCACAAGGGGAAATGGTTTCAAGCTAGATAAGGATTTATTTAGGTTGGAGATTAGGAAGAACTTCTTTAGTATGAAGGTGGTGGATCACTGGAACAGGTTGTTTAGAGTGGTGTTGGAGGCCCTACCCATGGAGACATTCAAGGTCAGGCTTGAAGGGGATCTGAGCATTCTGTTCTAAATGAAGATGTTCCTGCTTACTGTAGAGGGGTTGGACTAGATGACCTTTAGAGGTCCAACCCAAGACATTCTGTGATCCTATAAATATAATACTAGGCTGGATCATTAATAAAGAAGCACAATTGTATCACCACAAAGGCAGATATTAAATAATTTTTAGGATGATCCAGTCACAACAAAAAGCTTGTTTGTTAACTTTTCCACTATGGCTAAATTGCAAAATACTTCTCTAAATGATGCAGCACTCTGCTGACTGCAAAAAGTCCTTTGTATAGATAAAGAAACATCTATGTAATTATTCTATTTTACTTTAGCCAAGACAAGAGTTTTATTGAACACTACATTTTCTGCTCCTTAGGGAACATTTCCAATTATATTTCATGCAGAGCAGGAAAATCTGCTATCACATGGAGCTACTGAGAATTTACTCTTAGCCTCTCTTCAGAGAAAATACTTCATTAATTACAGATCATCATCTATGAATCTTGCTAAAAAACACAGAAAATAATACTACAAACTGTATCTACAACCTCAAGAGATGTAACTTCAAAATAACTAAGATTCAACTGAAGAAAAAAATCAATCAAAGAAAGAGAATCAACCAAAGATGATGTGTCAAATCTCTATATGACATGGAATAATGCAAACGAAGAAAAGAGGGTTAACTTCTAATAGGGCAGCTATGTAAGCAAATATGCTGTTATCTTTGGGAATAAATGCATATTAGGTCATAAGCAAATTTATGAGGAAGAAATAGCATTTGCTACACTCTGCCTACAAAAAATCATAATGCAGCAATGAGAAGCTAATTGCTAAATGACCTCTCTGTCTGCATCTGCTTAAGTCAGTCAAACTTTAAAAAGCAACTACAGAAGACCACTCTGGGGGGAAAAAATGTCCATGGATTTTCCACGTACCCAGAAAAGGAGATCCCTTCTTGAGAAAGGGTCAGTTGATGAGTTTGAAAAAGGGACAGATAAACTGGAGAAATAAAGCTTGTATAGAGAATACAGTTTAGAAAAATATCAGTATTACAATAACAAGGTATTTATTTTACTCACCTAAACCAGATTTTTTTAACCTCTTTAAGTGCTGGCTTGTTTGTTTTCCAGTTGGAGACTTTTGCCCATGTTTCATCTCTTTATCAGAACCATCTGCTTCACCATTTTTCGATTCAGACCCTTAAGAAAAAAAAACAAACATTCCAAACATGATACTGATGCACATGTACAAATAATCCCCCCCAGCACCTCTGACACTGTAAACAAAACAAAAACAGGATTTAAAAAAATTGACATTTGCTTGCTGAAAGGCAATACACCTTTCTGGTCACAATACAATTCCTCATCATCAGAGGAAATGGAAGAAAAAGCTCAATAAATCAATTAAGTGCTGAAACTGAAGTCTGCTGAACACTGCAGTCAATAAAAATGTTCACTGATCTAATAAAAAGAACGTTTTCCTATAATGCCCAAGAGATATCTTTAAAAGTATTTTAACCTCAAGTTATGGGGCAGTAAAGCAAGCTAAAGGTGAAAAAAAGATCATTTCTCTGTGAAGAAATGTTTATAGAAAAGATGTGCCTGGAAATACAATTGTCAATTTGTGTTAAACATAGAAATCTCGTAAAATCAAGCAACTTAACCACCAGACGAAGGTCAAGGTTATGCTGCAGTGAGATGCATGGTACAAAAAGAAGAAAAGCTAACAAAAGGATCAGAGTATTGCAATGCAGAACTGAGACGTAAATTCACACTCACAGAGAAGCTTGCCTTTCCTCCCCCCCTCCTCTTTTTATGGCATTGAATGTCAGCATGTGGTCCTCCATTAGAGTTCCAGAGCTAAATAAAATGTTACTTTGCATTCCTTTAAAGCTGCTGCTATTACCAATTGTCATTTTACCATGTGCATTCAGTTTTTTATTGAAGAAAAATCTCTATCCTTGAGACACCAGATTTGATACGGAAATAAAGACATTAAAACAAAGCCACCAAGTGGAAATATTATTTCAGCAGTTTCAAATTCTGTATGCTACACAGCTGATACAGAGGACTGCTCTGTGACTACTGCTGATCTTGCAAATGGTTCTTTAGCTATTTACCTGAAGGTGAATCCGACTGCTCATCAGACACCTTTAATGGTGTCAAAACAACACGAGGAACAGTCTTGTTTACCATCATTGAGACTCCATTTCTTCTTTTCTGCTGTTGTCTTAAAGCCTACAAAAATGATAACAAAATATAGAATGTAACAAAAAATAATGCTTATAAGTGAATGACATGCGACATTTCTCTACCATTAAAATGAATGTCTTAAAAGAAGCATAATTTACATAGCTACTGACTTTCCAGACTAAACACTCATCCTCTTTATGTAATTTTCCTTTAAAATAAAAAATCAGACATCTGGATATAAAGAGAAAGAAGATGCACCTTAGATCATTTTCCAATACAGTTTCGACAACAAAGAAGCACATAACTGTTTGCTCTACCTTAACAGCACAACATGATAACCCATGGAATGTGAAATTAAGACTTCCAAGTAAAAAAAATATAAAATAAATGTTTCAAAACCAGAATAAAACTATATATGTCTGCACATCTCTCGCAGGTGCATCCTCTCCAGTATACTGCTCAGTCAATCAAGTTAACACAGAGTGTCATCAGTATGTACAGCATGTAAGGACTACAGTATTGATGCACTCACTCAGCCGTGAGTAGTGCTGCACAAAATCACTGAACATGGCAGGAATCATTTATTTTTGTGAAGGGAATCAGTCCTAATCTTGGAAACCTTGCAGCACTTGGCTTCTGTCTGCTTGACTTTGGGCATTAACCTTCAGAACACGAACATGATGGTGTTCTGGCAAATCTGGGGGAAAATGATACAAGAATAAATCTCTACAGTTGGGACTGCTTTGTGTTTCATAAATGGATCAAATACAGGGTTGATAATGTAATACAAAATATAGAAAGACTAGAAATAGCAATACCTGTCAGACTGTTTTATATGGAAAATGAGATATGATTAAAAACATCTTAAAACATACAAATATGAATACTTCCCAATTAATACATTTGCAAGCACTAAGATTCCAAAATTAATCAGAATGGGCTGGACTTAATACAGATCTCTCCTATCCTTCTGTCTATTCTTCTTCGATCTTACTGTGCACTCTTTTTGTAACTGTGATTTGTGTTATGATGTTAAGGGGGATTTATTAAAGTAATCCTGTATCAACAAGGAACATATTTGGTATGAATGATCCCTGTAGGTTTGTGAGCATGTATGACTGATGCCTTATAAGGTTTAAGTCTGTAACTTCAGTTAATCTGTAATATCCTTCCAATATGTTCACATAGCTAAATGATAATAATAAAAAATATCTCTGGAAAAAGAAGAAATCGATATCACTCTATTCCTCTAAATAACACACTGCACAACATAAAATACACCAAGCCACACAAAAGCTATTCCATTGATTAACCCCTTTTATAGTACACTTCTTAAAAGACACATAAACACTGTGCAATAAAAAGCAAATTAGAACATCTGAAATCAAACAAAGAGAGGAAGCTGGTCAGATCTGCACTAAACCAAAGAAGCAGGCAGAAAGCCATTAAGAACAGCCGATACTTCACACATTTTTGAGACAGAAAATTCACAGTGGTATTAAGCAAGTACAGCCAGACTTGTGGACAGAAAATTCCAAAATATTAACATTTCTCAAAAATGCCCCAAAATTCCAAAAATTATCCTCAGTGCACAGTCCTGCCAAGCTAAGTGTCAAGTCAGGTGATTCTTCTTTAATAGTAATACCACTGAGACAATAACAAATAGTCCAGTAAAAATTAACTGAAAAGATAGCCAACTTCTCTGCTAAAGGCAAACCAACATAACCACAACCCAAACTTGTATTGTTGTGCCCCACAGCCTGATTTGTCTGTTGAAGAGCAAAGAGAAGAAATATCCATCCTTGGTGTCATCCTCCCTAGACAAATGAGTAAAAGCCCAAATGATGCCCCATGTTCTCCTCCAGGTTCCTCCTGACCTTTCAAGACAATTTCCATCTCCACCAGGAACCACAGCCTTGTTGCCAGCATCCATAAGGAAATACATTTTTAAAGATTTATACAGTCACTGTGACAAAGGTAGATTCTTTGCATAGCCTTGCAGCTGATTTTCAGTGCTTTAGACTGAACTGCCATGAGTGAGAAAAAGTAAGCAGCAGAGTATCCTCCACCAATGACAGGCAGTCAGCGTTTGTACACCTGAGGTGACATGCGTGCTGCTGGAGTGAGGGCAGCAGTACTGAATCTTTGTCAGGCACATTACTTACCTGCTTTCGTGTTACAGGTAGGCTACTTGTGGACTTTTAAGCACTCATATATGCAACTGATGTTGCACTTCCAAGAAGCACAGGCCACCCCATGCTCAAAGAGCATTAATGCAAGACAGTGTGGCTCATCCCAGCACCCTCCAGACACTCAAGAGCCACAAAAGCGGGAAACACAGCTAGAAGCAGGCAAACACTGCCATCAGAACCATTCACTTTGAGGCGTAGCCCACTTCTAAGCTACAGACTAAACACCTCAGTATGTGAGGATTAAGAACACATACCATTTCCCTTTGACACACATTTGCTTTTCAGACTTTCTTTTTCCTTAACATTCATTGTATCACTGCTGATCCCTCCCCCCATCTCCCTCAGTTTCATAACGTAAGGAAGTGATCACCAAGCAGGGCTCACTGATAAGTTTGAAAATCAGTCTATTGAAGATGACTCAACCTTACAGTAAAAGCTACACAAGAGGCCACCTGAAAAACAGGTTGTAGATTATAAAAAAACAACTGACAACAACAAACCATGTGGACATCAAAATTTATGTCAAAGTTTTAACACAAAATGCCAATGAATTCCACTGTGCTCAGAGAAGAGACAAGTAATTGTCTCTATCTTTCTATCTTTTCATTTGTCAAAGGAAAGATAAGAAGCAGGGCAGGAGGGTACAAAAGTATCCAGAAAATAATCTAATAATCGATTTGCAGAGTAGAGAGTTGGCTGAGATTTTGCTCAGTCATCCTATTTAGTGAGACATACTATTCCCAGCTAATCACAACAATTTTGTGTTAAATTCTGCTTTGAATTTAAGGCTGCAGGGTTTGAAATTTTGGATAGATAAGACTGCATGACAACACTAGGAGCAACACAGCAGGGGGAGACATTTCTGTCTGCTGCCTGGTTACTAGTAAAGCCAAAGAGCAGAAGGGGTTAAATACACACCAAGGACACTCTATGCAGTCTCTGCTGAGGCTGAATATATAACTTCTCTACACTTAGCCTGAGGGATACTAATTTTAGGATACGAGATTACTGTAGGATAAAACACGAATCTTGTATCCCAAGATTAATTCTCCTTAGCTGGAAAGTCAATGGGATTACTCAAAGTGAAACATACACCAAGCACTTTCTTATATTGAGCTTTTCGTGCACAAAGCTAATTTACTGCTTTCCCGGTCATCATGACCAAATAAAATTCTAGTTTTGGCTCTTGTGGTGAAGGGAATAAACACAAAGTAGATTAGTCAAATTTGTAGCTAGCACTGAAGAAAATGAGAAATTTTATAACTTATTCCAAAGAAGATTTTTTCCAGATCTCACCAACACAAATGACATTAGCATCTTTTACTAACACAGCCTTTTGCATCTCATCCATATTTAGAGATACAGAACCTCCTAGCCGGGCTGCCTACAGATCTGCAAGAAAGAGCAGATGATTCTACCAAATTATAAGGTGTCATTTTCACTATGGAAAGTGAGAAACACATATAGCACATATGATAGCTTACATAAAGTATATTTTTCTTTAATGAGACTCTATGTTTACATTTCAGATTTATTAAATCACTTAGTCCTAAACGCTTGAGTGAAAAAAGCTTCAAGTTGTAAATTCCTAGAACTGTTAACGGCTGAAGTATTTTGGAAAATGTAACTACCATCCTATCTGTACAGCACATAAATAAAAAGGGAAGAAAATGAAAGCTCATGTGGTATAAAGGTTATATATTAAACGCTCTCTTAAAATCACCACCAAAATATAATACTTACATCCAGCCTTTCACAAGCAGATTTGCAACGGACATCTGTGAATCTCTTGTACATAATACATATGAAGAATTCCCAATATTCCCATTCATAAAAATGAACCTGTGACCATCTGTTGAATAACACTGCCATGGTCATCATGCAGGGCTTGGCATAATGATTTGTTTAATGAAATTACTTTTATTGCCAAAGTCTTTAAGTAACCTATTAATCAAAACTCAAAATAACCGAAAAGATGAGAAAACAAACTCTGAAGATGGATGGCAAAAGAAAAACACCATGCAATTAACAGTGATTTTCTAATTCCAAGCAGGTTTTTATAGAGGTGACAAGACAAAGTCTCCTTCTCTTTTTTTACAAATTTATTTATGAACCTGCTGGCATGTAGCAGTGACTTGGAGGTTTCATGAATGCCATTATCTGTTCTTAAGAATAATAATTTCATATTATTATTTCATAATTTTATCAACTAAATGTTGATCTTAACACAGGAAAGAGCTCTTCTCCTGTGTGACAAAATGGTTGAATCTCTTCATTAAAAACATAGACATAGGAATGATACAAACTAAAATGTAACAAAAGGGAAAAATACTTCCCCAAGAGAGCCCCAGAAGCAAAATTTCAAGCTCTGTGCTCTGATTTTACTGCTGCTTGGGATATTTTTTTTAATTTTTCTTTCCCACATCTTTTCAACTCAGAATGAAAAAATGCAGTGTACAGAGAAACCATTAATGAAGAAAACTACTTTCATTTGGCTTCAATGCATGACATGCTGAGAATGTTAAAAATTAAGTGATTAACAACAAAGACATGTAACACACTTCGTTGCATTAAGCAACATTGTCCCAGATTTCTATTTGTTCCATAAATGCCAAAGCTGCATTCTGAAACTCCCATCAGGAAACATAACCTTTCAAAGTTCACACATTATGGATCAGAAATGTAAAGCCATGAAATTCTTCTGTTCTGCGATGTGAAAAACATGAGCTGTGACACTCACAGAAAAGTCTGTTGCACAAAATAAATAACAACTCTGCGTCATGGTCAAGAATCCCAAATGGGCAAAGAAGAAAGAGATTTATAGTTTATCACTGATTCACTTAACGTCACCAT